GGCTCTGATCGTGCCTGCCAAACAACCCAGTCATATAAACCCATAACTGGATGGGGGTGACATGGGACAGAACACTATCACAGCCACTGAGAAGGACTGACGGTACCAATACAGGGCTGCTGCTCCAACCTCTTCCCACCTCACCAGACTTCCATCTGGACCTCTGCTTTTCCAGCACAGATCTGATAGAGGAATAATCTCTCAATATTTCATCTATTTCTAATTTGAATAGTCACCTCCCTACCAAGGACTATGCTCCCAACCAGGAAAAGGCAGCAACTGAGGTCTCTGGAATTAGTAACAACATAGGAAAATAATTCAGTATCCAATTCACCTTTCTTTAACCTTGTCCTCTACAGTATTGGTTTCTCACACTTGTTTACTCTGAAAAACAGGAAACCCATCATATACTTGTGGAGCTCAGAACTCACCTCATCTACTACCCTTCAGCTAAGACAAGAGACAAAGAATAGTGTCCCTGGACTAAGGCTGCAGACTAGTTAGCCACTGAGCCAAGCTCAGAACAGCAAGCAAAGGCTTCCCATTACCTTCTCAGCCCCGAAACAGCCTGAAATACCAGGCTCCATTCCACAGAGTATTTGGTGGGCCAGAAGTCACATCGCCTCCTCGGGAGGGGAAAGCTGACTGATCTTATGCTCTGCCCTTCACTATAGAGCTACCCCTGAAGGGAGTCTCATGAAGACACTCTTGGGGCCCTCAAGACGCAGGGAGCCTTTTAGTGCTAGTCAGATTTCCTTCTGTTTGGATTCCAAATACACGCATAAGAGAATTCAACCAAGGCATCAGAGGTGCCTAATCTGCAGCATGATCGTGTGACCTCACATGTTCTTCCTCTTTAGCTCACTGCATGAAAGCAAAATTCAATCTGGTTTCACGCCAACTGAAGTGAACTAAGAAAATCTTGAGAGTCAACATGCAATAGGAATGGTAGCTGTTTAAAAGACAGGTTTATGTATATTTTTAAGAGTTCAGTTAATTCAAAATAGAAACAGAAATGACTGGAGAGAGGGAGAGGGCAGGGTAAGGGGAGGGGCTGAGGACAAGACAGACCGCCATGCAGATGACAGGAGCAGGTGCTGGTCCTCTGCTATATAGCACAGAGACTGCAGCCAATGTATATTTCAAAAATTGAAAAAAGAGAGGGTTTAAAATATTCTCACCACGAAGGAAGGAGCTGAGATGATGAATATGCTAATTTCCTTGACTAGACAATTCCTCAATGTACATACGTACTAAAACACACCACTGTACCCGATTGGTATGTACAATCACTATTTCTCAATTAAAAATACAATGTTTTAACTCTTATTGCACAGGTCCTGCTTTACCCTGGTCTTATCCATCCAGTAGAAAAGTATGAAGACGAAATATAGGAAGTAAAGCTATGCTGTTATGTTGAGCTATGGGGGACTCAGGTCAATAATTTCTGACATTGCCAGTTAAACAGAAGACCCAATGCTATTATGGGCTACTGGACTCTTTTAGAATATTTTGCTGAGTTT